GTGGGGTGGGGGTGGGGGTGGGGGGGTCCTTATCCCTAGGTTTTGAACTCAGGAGTGGGATTATTAGAAGACGTAATATAATTCAGGATTTAAAATACTTTTGATTCCATTTATAGGGATTTACCAAAAAATGTAATTGTCCAAATTAATTTATATTGATTAGTTTGATAGATTGGACAAAATTAACCATGAAGGTCTTGTTTGGAGTTTATGTACCGATCTCAAAGTTAGTCTTACTGCTTTTTTTGTTCCATGAATCTAAATGATCTTCACACCACCTACCTGCCTCATGCTGTTTGCCTTTGCATTGTACGTTTTGCATTTTTAAGTCCTAATTTATTTTGTAGTTTTTTCCCTTTTTGTAATGTGCAAAGCAAAACAAAGCCACCGTCTATGGAAACTATGATTCACAAGCTTGAGCAAACAAGCACACACAAAGGTATGTGGGCAAATGCTGAGTGCAGGAGGCGGGGGACGGGTTCATGGCTGCAGGCAGAGCGGAGACACCGGGGAGGAAACACTGCAACATTCCCTGCAGAAAGAGCCAGATAAATAGCCCGAGTGGTGCTTTGCAGGCTGAGCTGCGTGCACTTGTCAGCCTCTTAATGTCGATCATGTGAACTGTGTTTATACTCTGTAAACTAAACGGCCAGTATACAGGCCTATTATATTAAAATCTTACCATAATTAAAATGAACAATGATGTGCCGTTTAAAAGGAAAACCAATGTGGCCACTTGGATGTGATGCGATGCTGGAGGAGGCCACGGGTCATCTCTCAAGGGGGATTATTATGAAGAGAAATAAATCAATTAGTCCAAAAACTCCTAAACAGCAGAAACAAAAGACAAATTCTTTTTACCTTCATGAATACAAGTGATTTTCTGAGCTGCAGTGCGCATCGAGCGGCGTGAACCCCACACCCTGCAGAATGAGCGTTTCGTCTAAAAGCAGCGGCCTCTTTTGTTGTCACCTTTTGATGGAGTCGGTAAAGCAGAGCAATAATCAGCTGACAGGGGGATAAGCCTCGGCTGCTTTAGGGGCGAATACGCAAGTCTGCAGCTTCAATACACATCCACACAATCCACATGTGAACAGTGCGTGACCTGGAGAGAGAAGGCTTCCATAGGAAATGTTCATTTGGCTGAAACGCAGCTCAGGACTGCAGACCTGGCGCCTTTCCCCTTCTCTTCAGCCTGCACCAGGTAAGACCTTCTGAAAGTTGAAATGAAACATGTGCCTTTTAGCTGCCGTGGATGAATCAACATATGTTTAATCAGCGGGTTTTGCAGAGAAAAACAGGACGTTTGTTGGCGTCAGGACTCACGTTGGATCTGAAATTATAGCGTCGGAATTTAGAATATTAAAGTCATTTTTATGTAAGATCAAACTCGTTTTAAATGTTTATATATCCATTTATAATAATACACATAGTGCCTAAATTCTATAAGCATGATGCAACATCTCTGTTTAGAGCAGAATTCTATTCCTCCTGCCTCATTTTTCGGACATAAAAGACACACTAGTACATTTTGATGGGAGATTTGTTCCGCCAGTCAGATTTTAAAAAATCCAATGTGAGGAAAGACGCCGAGCCGAGACGGCTTCCACCTCCACTCCGCTGGGAATGCAAATGAATATTAAAAAAAGAGAGTAAGTGCAAATAACCAAACATGTATCGTTACACCTCCGATCTAAATAATTATCAAGCTGTCGATATTCATGCAGCGACGGGTTTAGAAGGGACCTGAGATGGTTTGGTAATACTCCACGGTTTCTAATTACACCTTAATGAGCTCTGAAATCCAACTAGTGCATTTTTCTGAAACAACAGCATTTGCTTAAGTTTCCTGGTTTATGTTTAGGACAATTAGACCTGAAAACAGGATATGAATAATAATTAAGTTTTAATGGTTTACATTTTAAAAGTTATACTGTCCATAGGTATTTAGAAATTTACAAAATAATTTGCATGTGCTTTGACTTTAAAACGAAGCTAATAAAGCCAGCACCGCTGTCTTTTCAGTCACAGTATTTTAATTTAAATAAATGGAGTTTTATGTTGGATTTTTAGTTTGAGAAAATGCTGCAGGAAGTGTGTGGCAGCGAGGAGATGAACAGATTTGTCATGTTACAGACCTGCAGACTGGTTCTGATCAATAGTTTCTGAGGCAACAGGACCAAATTAAAACATAGCAGGACCAAGTGTAAAACAAGCAACTGTCAAAACTCAAAAAATTATCATTTTGACTCAAAAATATTGGTAAAGTCAAATTTAAACCTACAAATTAAAGGAGATAGTTTTTGTCACATGGGGTAAATGTGTTCATCACAATCTGCACATGTTCATGTCTAAAGAAAAATGTATACAATGTACTATACAGATCGGTACCTTTCATTTCATACACAAAGTCATTTATTTGTAGCCAGTGTTTCTTCTCTTTGCTTCAGAAGAACTGTAGGACAGTGGCTGCACAGAACGCAGGCAGGCTACCTACAAACACACCACTAGTCTTTTCACTTTGCCCATAAGTGCAGCGGTCAGGCAGCAGAGGACTGCTGTGTGTCTGGGGGAGGTGGGTAGTGGATAGCTGATGGTTTGGGGGTTTGACTTTGGGCCAATGGCAGCCCTACAGCTTCAGCTAAAGGTCACATGGTGTGACCTTCTACATTCTCACCCTCAACTAAGGCCCAATGAGAGGTTCTCCTTGACCAAATGCATGACCAAGCTCTAAAACCACACCTACCTCTGATTTCTTATGCTCTGATCAGCTTTTTTCAAGAAAATCACACAAGACAAATTGGAATCTTTGCTTATGAGTAACTGTAACAACATTAACATTTGTTTGCACACTGCGAAATGAAACATGTACGTCTCTGCCTCAGACCGATTTAAAAATGTGTGCTTTGTTTGAAGTATTGACTTCCTGGTGCTCATGTCTGCATGTGCTGAACAAAGGTACGGTGTCTGCTGTATGTATGTTGGTATGTGAGTGAAACTAAACGTATGTAAGTTGTGCATCAGACTCTCTCGCAGTGGGCGCTTGGTGCCTTTTGAGGGCAGGCGGCTGGTGAGAGAGTGTGAAAGCAGATAACCAGGGTGAATTTCATCTCACACACACACACACACACACACACACACACTCTTCCTGTTCTCTGAAGTTCTATTAAAGAAAGATGAAAACAAAACGCACATCTGAGATGTTTTCGCTCCGAATCAATTTCGACACATTAAACATGCTGAAAAGATCAGCAGCTTGGTCTAGTGGACCTTGAAATAGTGGGGAAAAAATGATCCATCAGTAAAATCCATCTTCTTTGATGGAATAAATGTACCCTGTATTTGTTTTTTCTTAATTAACACAATTTACACATAGGCTTTATGCCTTTCATTACTTTAAGAGACTGTGTAGTATTAAGTCAGAGGTCCAGTTAGTATCCTTGGAGTGAAACACTGAACCCTCAGTATCACCCACACCATCGGTCACACTGCTCTGTTGGGTCTGTCTCTCTCTGGGATCTTACTGGACAATATGACCACATTAAAAACAGAAATAGTAAAAGGAACTAAACTAAGCTGCTCCTGGAGCTTTCTGATTTGTCTGTTTACCCCTTTTCAGCCAACAAATTAAAGTGCTAGTTCAGAGCTGGTTCAACTTATAAATCTTCTATGAGCCAGTTTGCTTTTTCTCGTCAACATTTCCTTCGTAGTGTTGCTCCTGGCTTTGCGAGCCTACACTGGCATCCAAACACGACTGGTCCAACATGTGTGCTGCTCAATTTCACATCTATTAAGCTCAGGTTTTTCTTCTGGAATTACAAGTTGGGCAAGAGTACAATTACAATACACTGTTGTTGTGTGTGTATGGGTTGTTAATGGCAGTTACACTTTTGGTTGGTCTTGTTGATTTTGATAATCCCGCCCCCAGCAGTTCTTAGCTCTCGACCAGCAGAAGGTGGCATTATTTAACTAAAGTCTAACTGTAATTGACCTACCAAGTTACTAAAACCCCAGTAATCCTGCATTATGCCCATATCTTTATACACACAACATCAGTATTAGGTGTAAAATATGACTATAATGTGTAAAAGATACAAAAAATACATTTAATTGAAAAGTAGGCAGCCTGCAAGCACACAAGTCCTCCTCATGCCTCTTCACATTAAAACGACAAGTCTAAAGCTGCTAACATTTTAGCCTTATCTGAAGCATCATGTTCAGGCAACTTCAGTTTACACAACCTGCCCCAAATGGCATCTCTCAGCACTGTTTTCTTTAGGCCTGTCATCTATGGTAACATCTTAATTGACGTTTACCTCTGTTCGCTGCTGTCAGCCACCCGGACTCGGTGTGTGATGAGCAGCCTGGCAGAATAGTTTCCCAGGCTCCAACTTCACATAGAAATTACACCTGAGCCTTTGTTTGTTTTAGTTTTTTCTTCTTCTTTTTTGTGTTATGCAATTTTCCCTTCACATGCAGGATGAATTAAAAAATGTTGTGGAAACTGTCAAAATGTCTATCGTCTACCTTCGTGCTCTCATCGGTTCATGTAAGTTTAGTGGCTTCACAGCTGAATTTCAACTGTGTGTTCTTTAGGACAGTAATCCTAAATTGCTTCCTTAAGTAAGATTCAATATTTCACTTCAGATGTTTCTTCAGTCTGCTTCCCCATATCATCTTAAATAAAAAAACATACAAACAGTGCAGACACTTACATGGATCACAGTTGAATAGTATCCACTGTCTGTATGAGGTTTGATGTAGGGTCAGCTCCAGTGGAAATAATACCCTGATCACTTGCTGAGTTAATTTCATACTCCACATACTAAGCTGACTCTCCAGCTGTACAAACATAGCATCTTTGAGCATAAAATGCACAATATTATGAAGAGGGCCACTTAGGGAGAAGCTTTACATCATTTATCCCCCTAATACCACGTTCAGTTCAAAGCAAAGACTCAGTGTTGCCTAAATAAAACCCCTGCTCTTTCATGTGCTCCAGCTATGGAGGAAAAGGAAGAACTGTGGACACCCACAAGATTTTAACTGATACAGTGTAATAGTTACATGTTAAAGCAAAAAATATGGGGTGATTTACTTTTCCTAATGCAACTTCTAGAAACTAACTACTAAAATCTGTCTATGGGTTTCTATAAATATGAGCTCATGTATTACATTTCTAGTAAAAGGAGCTCGGAGTTGACAGTGTTCTGACACAAGGTGTGAAAACCTGGTTACCCATAGCTCGACAGTTAATGACAACTTCTCAAAAATCAATTCAATTAAAATAGTTTATATAAAAAAAGTCGTACTGCTACATTTGCAAAATTCAAATTCAATACTACCTCTGCAGAATATTGGGGGGATAGTGGGAATACTAGTTTTTAGTTTTTAAAATGTTAGATTGTTTAAATTAATGTGACTTTGTGTCATTTCTGCATGAGAACAGCATAAATTTCCTGGATTGTGTCAGACTTTGCTGCGCTGCATTTGTGCAGTCAGATTTTATCCGTTAAACAGACACAGAGGACATTAAATGTAAAATTTTGCCAACAGCAAATCAAATCTGTAATTGACTGACTCTGCACATTTTGCTGGACTGAACTGCGGACACAGTTTGTGCTAACAATATGGTGCAATAAAGCAGCCATCCATTTCTCCCCGATTGTACATGTTGCCTTAAATAATAACTCTCAATCTCCTGCCTTTGTGTTTAATCAGAGTGGGCGTGAGCCGAGTGACATCTAGTAGCAGTCCGGGCAGCCTCCAGACACGAAAGCATTTTGGAAGAAAACCCCAAACTCTGCCTATTAATAAACAAATCTCTGCCTTTGTTTTTAACACAATTTCTCACATGGATACATGGTGTAATTCACTGTGTTGTCGTTGTTGTATTCCACATGGCCTGAGATCAACAAGATTTTTGGTCCAGTATTTCCAGAGCCTGTTGCTGTCTGTGGCCATCCTGCCAGTATCAGCTTGCGGTTAGAGAGACCAACTCGATTTGTGCCGCCATCAGCAGACTGTCACTGAGCAAAACATATAAGCTCTTCCTGTTAAATCATTGCACGTCACTGTTGAGTCGGCTAAAGTGTAAAATGTTTATTCCTAATGAAAATATTTCTGTGGCTTGCTCTTTAATTAAACCCACGTGCTGCAAGTTCTAGGTTTCTGTGGTGCAAATATAGCCATTTACTTTTCCATCTACCCAATGGTCAATTGTTTTGCACACTTTTAGTCATCTGTTGATTAGCAACTGCTCCAAACAAGGAACTACTATAAACTATATAAATGTCTAGTATCGTTGTTTAAGGAAATAGCATAAATACTGATTGCTTTGTTCACTTCTCCAAGTGTTATTGTTCACCTGTTGACATCATGTTTGGACTGTTTGAAATGTGCATCATGTTATTGTTTTATTGCAATCCCAATTTATTATTATATTATTGTGCAATTCATCAATTGAACTTTAAATTGTCTCCCATTGTTTTCTTTTGACTTCTTATATACATATTTAAATGCTTCATTCATGTCTGTACAGTCAATTTGAAGCAAGAGCCAGCAGGATATTAGCTTAGCTTAGCACGAAGACCGGAAACAGCTAGCCTGGCTCTGTCCAAGAAGACAATCTGCTTACAAGCACCTATAAAACTCACTTGTATGTTTATTTACATCTTTTTCTTAACTGTACAAAACCTGTGTGTAATACTGTGGATTCACAACGGGCTGTGGGTCAGGGCCACACACCAGGACAGTCCTGGAGTTGCCTGGCAATCTCATGGTGAGGATAAGGCTGAAATAATATAGATTATAAATTGGTGCACTGCAGAGGTGCTGATGGGTGCATTTTGTTACTTCTGGAAAGAGCCAGACTAGGTGATTGCCCCTGTTTTGGGTTCTTATAAGCTAATGACTGCTGGCTGTAGATATAAACTCATACAGACATGAAAATAGTATCTTCTCTCATGTAACTCTCGCCAACAAAGCAAATAAGCGTACATCCTTGAGAGAGATTAAATGATGAACAGCAGTGAACAGTGAAATAAACAATGAACACCCCACCTGGTGTACCTGGTGGCTCCACTCATCCACCTCTCCCACTCTACGGCATTTCCATCCCAACGAGAACAGACGGTGTGGAGAGTGACTTATTGGATTGGATCCCACCCAGCAGTGACTTATACACTCAACCTATATGTCACAGATGGTAGGATTTCAGTGTGGTTGATATAGGAAAGCCACTAAGGAGTATTGATCTTTCTAAGATCTGCTCTCGCTGCCTGATCTCCACAGGATCTGAACGTCCGCAGAGGCCTGGAGGGGAGCGGATCTGCTGGAATCTCACTCTTTACACCGTCAACAGTTGAAAATGAGGTAATTACATGGAAAAATTTTCACAAACATTAAACTCTGAAACCTCAATACAGTCAGTGCATTCTTTAGCACAACAGTGATTGAACCTATAAAAAGCTGATGACAATTCAGGTCTGAGAATTCTCTTGATGAAAAATCTTTTTTGAATCTTGACAGAACCGGACACAAGCATCAATATCCGAACAGAATAAAGACAAGAAAACTACCGACAGTAACTCTACCTCTAGCAAGTGAAAGTGTAAGGAAGGGGAGATCATTTCTCAGTGATAAATTATACATGTCCTAAGTGGGATTTCTTTGTCTACTGTTTTATTAACAGGCATTCTGCCACACACCACCTGTTGCATCCCACATGTTGTCATGCACTTATGCTAATAATTATACTGCACTGATGATGAATGGCTGTTTTAACTCGATAAATCAGGCTTTCTTTACAAATAGTTGCTGTGAGGAACAACATTCAAATACAACAAGGCCCTAGCAGATAATGAGACTTTAAACTCTGATCAGAACACCATAAAAATATAAACCCTGTGTAGAACCTTTGACATATTTTGTGCCAGTTAAACAAATACACAGTCTGATGTTTTGTGACTATGAAAAGTAATAAATGATGTTTTTAACCACTGTTAGGTTTGAGTGCAGGTTTGCAGTCACTAATTGGCATCTAGTTGAAACACTGCACAGAGCTGATGCTTGAAAAACAACCCAGTTTTTCTTTGATTTCTTGGACTGTTAGCCAGCGATCTGCTGTTAAATTGCACAAGCAGGCTGATGGCACAGGAGCTCTCTCTGTCTCTCTTTCAGACAGTTTTAATCTCCAGTAAGTCGGTCACGTCCAGATTTGTCGTCTGCAGTGTAAACGACCTGCTGCCTGTGCCGCCATTCTCTACACCTCTTCTTCATTTCCACGCACGGTGGGAGAGCCAGAGCGCATGGTGTGGTAATCCCTGCTGGAAGGCGTCACCATATACTGTCATTAATGAAACCAAAGCTGCCACACATGAATAACCTATACACAAACACACAGATACTGTATGCATGTACATGTACACACCCATGCCCAGGGTTGGCAGAAGGTTGAATGCTGGTAGCTGTAGCAACTTGTAGATTACAGCTCAAGGTTTATATCTCTCTGTAGGTCGTGTTATGGTGGCTCAGATTTATCCTCTGTAGTCAATTAAAGGCATGGATTGTTCCTCTTTGTTGTCGTCATCATTGTTATAGTGTGTGTATAACGCTGTGAGGTCTAAACTCTTTGCTTAGTTCTGTGTATTGTCTCAGAATCGCAAAAATCCTTCTTTAAAAGTCTTATGGGAATTTCAGCAGTGACACAAACCTTTGCATATTTTTGTGTTAACATGTCCTTCTACAGACGTAGCTCCCAGACCTTTTGGTTTTGGACCAAAGTGTACCTGTGGGTCTTCTTGACAGGTACCAGATTTCAACAGGTTGCATTTTAAGTTGAGTGATTCTTTAATCCAAAGAATAAAGGAAATCTAAAAAGAAAGAGCATGCTGTGGTTCTTCAGCCCCATCACATGTATTTTGCACCAGATTTTGACTTGGCCTATAGGTTTTACACTGATTTAGAAATATTTTATCATATCAACTGTTTTGGTTTTAAGTTATAATAGGCTTATTTATTAAAAACACACAAATGTAATTTATTATTTAACACATTAAATGAGCTATTTTTAGATTTGTGCATATTGTTTTTGATGTTGCTATATATGATTTTATATAATCTGGCCCCTCTCAACTTCACTATAAAGTGTTGTGATATTTTGTATATATTTGGTCTTTAAAAGTTTTTTTTTTTTCATTATTGGTTCGAGCCTGTATTTTGTAACCATTTCTCCGAAGCACTGTGAGATTACTGCAGGAGCTGATAAATCAAGAATGAATTTCCAACTTGACTGTGTGTCATGATCATATTTATTATGATTAGTGAGTGCAGCATTAAAACAAAAGCTGTAATTCAGTGCTGCAACTTGTGAGACCACTTGAGCCAGCAGAGGGCGCCAAAGATAACTATTTAAAAAGTCCTTATCTCCTCACATTGGAATCTTTTTTATTATTCATATAACTTAGCACTTTCTCTGTCCTGAAAATGTGCCTTACATGCAGTAAAATCCTATTTCTAAACTTCTATTATTCAATTTTTAAAAAAATATACATGCATATTTAAACTATGTAAATCTATTTACTACTGGACCATTAGATTGAGGCTATAAAAAGTCACTTTTGACATGTTAATTTAAACTGACTTTTAAGGCACAAAACACACTTAAAAATAAACTGTAGCAAAAATCTGATTTGTACATCAAGTGAGAAAAGACTGCTGATCTTCTGACGTGACACCAGCACCATATTCTCCTCAATTTATGAGGCATCATGGTGGGTAATGAAGCAGAAAGGTCAGGGGGAATGTGTTTTTATCCACTCTAAACCAATAGGTCAGATTTCCACTTTCTACACCACAACTCCATGACTGCAGATGGTGTCCTTTTGGTTAAAACGGTACATTCACCTTGGCCACTCATACATCACATCACCAATTCTCCATCTTATTGGCAATGTCACACAGACGGGTGGGAGATATTACTGAATAGATTTACTGCAAGGGTTTACTCACCGCCTCAGGCCTGAGGGGTAATGTAAGCCATACATTATGAATCCAATTTGCTTGGGGCAAGATCAGGTAGGGGGAGTGCAAGATTGAGTCGCTGGGCTGAAAGTCACCCTGTCACCACTAGATGGCAGCATGCCGGTGTATATGGCAAATCTCAGGGTGTATTTATAAAAATGTTTATATTACAACTTCAACATTATTACTATTAAACATCAAAATAATAGAGAGATTCATGCCGTAGATGATGGACTATTCCCCAAGAAAGATCCCCCCATACAAAGGCACAGTAAGCTTCACTACTGAAATGTGAAAGGATCCTACTGGAAGATTCAGAATATTAAAGCAATGCCACATGAACTTAAGTATGAATAGGCCACTTGTGAAATGTCACAGTGACATCAAAGTTACAGGGTTAGCAAATGTTTGGCATTATTGTTTGATAAATAACTTTACACAACTACAACTTGAACTATCTGAGTGAGAACAGCTCATTGAAATGAGCTAAACTTTTGTTTCAGGACAAATGTGTCTTTGCCTCAGTGTATTTAAAGCACACAAAGCAAAACAGTAGGAGCATGTAGAAAATCCACAGAGGCACAGACTGGGCATATGAAGGGGGAGTACTGTACGTGGTGGTCACTGGGGTAGGTCTAGGTCATTGCATGGTCAGGGTTAACTGGGATTACTGTATCTGCTATATTGTCTGTGGCAGGTCAAAATCAATGTCAGATCAGTCTAGTTGGCCATTTATTCACATGATCACAAGAAATGTAACAGCAAACTGTCAAAAACATGCATGGCCAAGTATGTTACACACACACACAAGCAATTTGCCTCTGGAATAGAACCGAGGCAGCCATCTGCAATGCCAACTCAAACACGCACGCACACACCGATGGCGGACCTAAGACACCAACTTGTGTTATAAATTTACTTTACTTACTTGTCGCAGCGTCTCAGGGAAGGGTCATACTGACTCCAAGCTGCTCTCAATGGCGCAGAAAACCTGTTTCATGGTTGAAGGCTGCAGTCATGCCAACAGTTCCAAGTCAGGGTACACCAGGAACAGCAAACCAGACACCAGTTCATCCTGAAGCAGATGGAACAGGGTCTAGTCCGGAGACCGACGTGGGGTTGAGGGCGTTTGTCTTATCATTTATGTCATTCCTCGAAAAGTTTCTATGGGAGGGTGTTGAAGAAGCAGAGGCCAATGAACTGGTCGTTGAGACCAAATCCACGCACAATAGTTAGGCCATATGTGCACAGAACATGAAAGTAGCAGGAGCCATGATTTAAATAAAAAATACTCTACATGTCCCGACCTGTCATGTTACAGGTTAAACTCAGTCAAAGTGCTTCACCTGCACATATGTGGCTGCTGAAGCAACAGCGAAGGTGCAAATATTCACGGAAGAGGAAACCAGTTTAAATAGACTGCAAAATGGCGCGCATTAGGTGAAGAAAGGCACTGAGGTATACACCTGTAGTAGAGGTTGCTCAATTTAAAGGGATATTCACAACAAAACGCCTTGTTAACAAAAGATACAACGTGCATTGCATTTCCTGTTTGTGATGTTTGGCACTAATGTTGTAGTTTAGTTGCTAAAGGAGGACACTGATCTAAAGCAAAGACAGCAGCTACTAAACAAAGTAAATGTAGCCTACAGTTATGTTTTTCAAAATAATATTTCAGTCAATTGTACTACCCCCAATTATTTATTATTATATAAATACAAAACTAATGAAGCTAAACATACATCTGGGTCTTTTATTACAGTTTCCTAAATTATGAAAACTGGCCAGTCAGTAAATGCATCTTTTACTGTTTGGTCATTCTATTTGCAATACTATTCACCACATAGGTGATGTTATAATTTTCATAAACCTTTGTGAAAAGCATGATTTCTGTTTTTGTGAACTACCAAACATGTGTATTACAGCAGAACATCTTTAACAACTTGAGCAGTTCACTAATATTGCACACACTGAATTGTAAGATATTGCAGATATACTTCATTAAACTTGCTGAAGTGTCCCACTTTACCTGAAAACACTGTCCCAGTTTTGCTAACACCTTTATCAAACATTGCACAGGGCTCTAAAGCTTGAGTCCAGCTCCTTTGCCAGTTCACAATGTTCACAATGCACTTTAGGTTGCACCCACAATTGTGTTCATGCTACTTGGACCTGCCAACCAGTTCATTCCCTCTGGATAGCAGTGACAGAGAAACTCTCCACCATCTTGGGCTGTAGAATCCCTCCTTCTCCGTCATTTTGCTTGCTCGGTAATATCACAGACGTTGACCACCTTCCAATTAAATACAAAAACCCACTGCCGGTTCACTTTCCCTGAACACAGGCCAAACAGCCTCTGACATTCAACATGCCCAAAGGGATTACAGTTTTTCTTGATTGCTTTGACCTGTTTAAAACTGCTGTGGATAAACCTCTACTTTAGAAACTTCACCCATGTCTCTTCATAATTATCAACCAGTATCTAACTTCCCATTCTTTTCAAAACTACTAGAAAGTATTGTCTTAGTTGGAAGTTGCCATGTTTTCCTTACATGTTTAACAGCTATAATTTGTCATTCTAATTGCCAAAGTGTCTATTAATGCTTATTTATTTAGTACACACAGCATGTCTGTACTGGAAGACGGATCCCTCCTCTCTGTTGATGCTCTTCTTGAGGTTTCTTCCATATCTTTTCTTCAAAAGTTTGTCTGAGGGGACTTTTTCTTACCTGATTCAAGGCTTTCGGGACAGACAGTGTCGTATGCTGTACAGAGTAAAAAGCCCCATGAGGCAAACGTGATTTGTAATATTAGGCTTTATGAATTTAACTTATCTTGACTTCTGAAGAAATCGTCATTGTGCAGCATGTCTGTGTGTGTTTGTATGTGTCAGTGTTTGCCTACAGCCTATAAATCAGTATATAGGTGAAAGTTTAACCATGCAGTGCCAAAAATGAGATCATACCACCTTGTGTCAGATGAGGAAATAGTTTCCACAATAGATTGGTTAATATAGCAATCATTACAGCAGTCTTTCAAAGGCTTGGCTCACAGCAGCTGTGGCACATTGTGTAACATCTGCCTCAGGCAAGTAAAGCTAAACTGACTGGGCATGATATACAGTACTGTACATCTTTTTTCATTGCTGTAAAAGTGGAAAATGACGCATTTTGGATTCAGTTTGTTGTTTGAGCTGACATCAGGAATTAAACTATTAAAGAAAGTCATTCCAGTAGTTTTATCAGCATCCGTTCCTAGACTTCTGCCCTACATTTTATCATATTACCTGATAACAAACAGACATGTTGTGCTTCTTAATTTAGCATGTGAAGATCTTGATAGTGTTCTAGTTTGAAGAGTGATTGTGCAAATATTGAAATCTTTTGACTTTTGAGCACTGTTATCAAAATGCCACTGGCACTAGTCAAACACTGTAAAAGTGGTTGTACACGCTATATTTGTTAACGTGTAACTTCTGCTTTACTTTGTATGCCCACTTTGTGTTTTCTGTACCTTTATTACACTGGGCTGACGTCAATATTAGATTAGAACTGGTGTCTGCAGGTATTTTAAATGAAATAACTCAGACTGGGTGACAGTACTGTCCAAACGTTCTAGGCATTAAAGCAAAGAGCGGAAGCTTTGAAAATATTCCAAATTGTTTTTATTTATCAATTATCGTCATACAAAGAGCAGTAAACAGAAAAAAAAACCTAAATCAAATGATCAGCCTTTGTCTTTAAAATAGCACCAGTTCTTTGAGATACACTTTTCTGCACAGTTGTTCCAAGCATCGTGGCCGTGGTGGAAATCATCTAAGTACATTTACTCAAGTATCGTACTTTTGACAGTTTTGGAGTACTTGTACTTTACTTACTTCCATTTGATACTATTCTATACATAATGATTTATTTTTTACTCTGCTATACCTGACAGTTACTTTCTAGATCTCACATTTAAAAATTAAAAATGTTGATCATTTTATATATTACAATACACTGTTAAAGATCAGACCAGTGTTTGCATGTGTGTGTGCACGTGTGTGTGTATCAGAACTTAGTTTTTTCTACTTTTCTCCCCCATTAATCATCCCACAACCCATTAGATCCTGTGACCCTTTCAGAGGGCCTGACCTCTAGGTTGGGACTCACTTGACTAGACTATCTCATGGCATGTAAACTAGATCTAGCTCCACAAAGTGACAACAGTAAAATGCTGCTATATGTTGATCTAGTGTAAATATAAGATGATTTATCAGTTACACAGGGGCCATGCTTCTGCATAATGAAGACTTTTGATTTTGAAAATTTAAATACGTTTTGATTCTGCACCTTTAATTGAGTAGCATTTTGTATACAGACCCTTTACTTATAATGGAGTACTTTCACATTATTATATTGGTACTTTTACTTAAGTACAGAGCAGAGGTGAAGAGTTCTTCAACCACTGGTTTGCTGTTTGCTGCTTCTGTCTCATCATGCATCTGACTCCATGGTGGTTAAATCAGGCTACTGTGGGGGCCATACACCCTCTAATGCTAGACTCATTGTCCTTGTTGGTGAAAATGGTTCTTTATGACTCTGGCTGGATGTTTGAAGTCACCATCATGCTGCAAAATGAATTTGTATTGTGTGATACCTACTTTGTAAGAATCTAAACATTTAAGGTTGCTAAAACATTTGCACAGTACAGGCTAGCTGTAATGTTCACCACAATGTCGCTGTATACAAATAAACCTGACTTTCACTGACTTGATTTGTCCTGAATTGCACCAGTGGCAGAAGAAATACTCAAATTCTGTAGCACTACTGAAGTGTAAAAACAATATGTAACAACTATCTTGTCCTGCATTCACAGTGTTACTTAAATAAAAGTCAAATAGCACATTAAACATAATGTGTATTATATTATTGGATTATAATTATTAATGCATTATTATGTAGACTTCTGTATTGTGTACTGTACATCGCATTTAATGTGGAAGCTGATAAAGGTGTATCATAACTACTATGTTAAAACCTTAATTATTGCTGGCTAGCTTGTGAATTTCCCATCAGGAAATCAATAAAATATGGCAAATGAATATTTCAAAACCTTACTTGGGCTACTTAAGTACAGTGAGTGAATATGCAGTGATTTTCCACTAGTGAACTGTGGGCTAACCCGGGGGGCTTTAGGACCCGGGGCGCACGTCCGTGAGGCGTGGGCGTAGGCTCGTGCCGGTAAAGGAGGAAGGTGTCACCACTGCCGGGTTGCTCTCGCACAGACGCGAGGTCCTGACATAAGTGATGCGAGTTCAGGGCTGTCAGTAAGCCGACTATAGAAAGACGCCTCTGCTGGTTATCGCCTTGTTTCAACAGCGTCCACAAAAACAAAACAGTGAGCATGTCGGTGCTAGCTCTGCAAGAGTATGAGTTCGAGAGACAGTTTAATGAAGAGGAAGCCATCCGATGGATGCAGGAGAACTGGTAAGGGTACATCGTAACGTTAGCGTTTTTCAAAAACCTCACTACATTATAAACGGTACCCCCCCCCTCCCCCTCCCCCGCAAATTCAGCGTGTACGTGGTAAATTGAGGGCTGTAGCGCGATTAAACCTCGCTCTGTCCTTTTTCACCAGGCTCCCCGTTATCATCCTCAAATTGCTCCTTAATAAAATGAACACGCTCAGGCGGCCTTTAGCCGATACTGGGCCACAGTTCACCCTGTCTGACCTCATTGGATACCACACACCAGTCTGCTGTTGCACTGCGCATCTTTTCATTGGGAGGATTTGTCCTTGATTTGCTGCGATTTATTCTCCAGGCATCAGTTACCGCGATAGTACGGTATTGTAAAGGTCGTCCATGGCTCGAGCTCCCTCCTCCGTTTAGACAGCCATTAGCCCAGTAAAGCTGGTAAACTGCACCTCCATTGGTAATCCTACTGGTTCCTTCTTTAGCACGGATGCTATTACCTTTATTTCAATAAAAGTATGCTACTAAACAGGCCTTTTGAAAGAAATTGCACAAGTGGCCCAGTTAGATCAGTGCTGTACAGGAGAGCGAAAGGGCATCATTGTAAGGTCAGTTTGCTCTGCTCTGTATAATAATCTGTCAGTTACTGTTAAGTCACCAAATAGTATTTTAGATTGTCAAATATCAGAAAAGAGAAGAGTGGCAATCACAGTCTCTGAGTCCAAGGTGAGATTTCCAAACAGCTGGTTGTGGCCAACCAGTGCAAAATCCTCAGATTCACCAGTAATGATGATCTGAAGTAGAGAAAAGTAGTCTTTACATATATAAAAGAAGATGTTAGAATCAGAGAATGTTTGGTGGCTTGCTTGAACAAAGATCCATCATTTATCAAAATGTTTGGTCAGCCATTTTAGCTTTATAAATTACCTTAGTTTTAACCCACGACCCCGTTTGGGACTGAGCAGTATAGAAGATGAATGAATGAATGAATTGACCAGTAATTGGTTAATTGCTAAATCTCAAACAGTGCAACTCTGTGTATTTCATGCAACCTTTACTGGGCTGTCAACCATGAATTAAGAGAAAAATCAATTTAAGATCTTTCGTTGTTTACCCAGGGCAGTGTCTGCCAAGCTTGGCACAAACTGCATATAACTTAGACTTACACTATTGTTACTGGAGTTAAGTAAATATTGATAATGCTCTGTGGTCTTGCACATTGATGCTTTTCAAATGTGCATCATGTGCGGGTCCAGCCAAACATCCTTTGAATCTGTCCACTCAAGGGTCATTATTGTCCAGGTTCATTCAAGATTAAGCAAGAACTGGTTCTAAGCAAAGCAAAGTGTGTCTTGTGTAAAGTTGACATAGGCTTCATTAAGCATCCAATGGCAGTAGGTTTGCAAAACCTGGGAGGCAACCACAGGGCGTTCATCTGGCTTCTTCTATCATCTGAACTGCCCATAGAAAAGAGTGGCATGAAGCATGTTATTTTGGACAGATTTGGATTCAGTAGAGCTCTTTGAGACTGTTTCATTCTAATTAATTGAAAAAATAAATAAATATAGCTGTGAGTGTATATATGTGTGTGTGTGTGTGTGAGAGAGAGAGAGAGACAGAGAGAGAGAGAGAGAGAGACAGCGAGGACAGCATGGTAGCAGTGTGTGGGAGCTGTCCATGCTCTGGTACTGACAGTCAGTCATCTGATGTCTGCTGACAGAGTATTAGCCAATCACGCTGCAGCTGATCTCTGCTGCCTTCTCTCTGCTGGGCTGGGCAACAGCTGTAGAAAATGGGATTTGGAATGTTATTTGAATCTAAACCAAATATACTGAAAGCAAAATACACCTATATTTTCAGCTTTTAGGCTGCAATAGACAGTCTCTGTCATAAATAAGTGTATTTTGTGAATCATTTTAATTATGTAGGCAACAATAATATAAATATTCTTTGGATGAGTGTTTCTTGTTTTACATTTTCTTTTTACTTGAGATGTAGTATTATCTGATTCTTGGGTGTTGTACAGCAACCATATCTGCAGATGTCTCACATTTAAAAGTTTAAAAACTCAAAGCATATTATTATTTGGGTTAGAGTTTCTTTTACCAAACACAATATTTTGCACTTAAAAGATGCATCTCTGCACCACAACGGTTAGTGACATATTCAGAGATAGTGTCATCTGCAGTAAGTTAATACTGGACAACATATCATCCTGGATGATTTACTGTCCATGTGCTAATGCGCCACTGATTCAAATGAGACCAGAGCATGGTTTATTCTCTGAACCAATGGCTCAACATTTCTTCTCACACCATGTGAAATCTGATACATAGGTATAAAAAATGAAGCTGGTATTAGAATTGAGCCTACCTGTATTATAAAAGCCCAAGAAAGGTTTTGAAATATTCATTTGCCACTGCTGTGAAGGTGGAACTGATGACCATTGATGGATGATCTCTGTTAAGCAGCGACTGTCAGTCAAGAAAACTATTCATACCTCAAAGGTAAGACGGATTTATGGTATATTTATTTTTGGATGTTGTCTGAATTTTTTGTCTGAGATCTAATATTTGTGTTGCTACAGTAGTTATTTCCATTTTGTCTTGAAAGCTTTAAAAGTGATAGATGCATTTCACAAAATCATGACTGCATGACAACAGAGTGATTAAGTCATCACACACAATGTTTGTATTCCATATTAGTGATAACAGTGCAATCTTAGCTAGTTTCCTCTTTTTATCCAGCTGTTGAATTTTAACTTAAAGTAACTGTAACTGTACCCCGCCTTTGCCCGATTGCCGATTGGTGCCGCCCCCCGCCCCCCCCGTGACCCCTTTCAGGGGCTAAGCGGTAGAAAATGAATGAATGAATAACTAGTCCCAGTTTTCTTTAGGGTACATTCAATTCTTTGCAGTGTGCACATGCTGTTATCATAGTGTTGATGCTGGTATCATTGTGCAGCCCTGTCAGTAACACAAGCTCCTGTAGGATAGCTAGTTGAAAGAACCTTTGACTGCTGCTCTAAGCAAGGGTCAAATGATATTGTTGCATTTCTTTACTTATTACATTACAGTTTATGCTTACATTATCATTTTGTTGTTAAAGAAAAGCTGCTTTGTTCTTGATTGTCTTTCACATTTAGTCAGAAGTTTTTTTATTTGATTTTATTTGATTTATTCTTTCAAGCATGTAAAGACAGTTGATATGTCATCACACATAATTTTACACATATCCAACAAATGCTAATCCAATATCAATTTGCTTATACCTAGTACATGCTTGAATGGAGTAGGAAGAAGTCAGACTTATCCAGTCCTACCCCATGACATCATCTTACCATCATTGGTTTGCAAGCAGTATCTCTACATAGATAATTCTCTTCTACACCACACAAGTAATATACTAAAGAATTATTACAAAGTGTTAACATTCATACACCACACCCACAATGTTCCATCT